GATCCCCCGGAGTTAGTGTCACGGTGTGGAGAGACCCCAGAGATCCCCTGGTCTTGATGCACGTGTGCAACGCCACGCTAGCGCTCTCCATTTCGGCGGGCTGCCGTGCAACAGATTACCTGGCACGGGCCGCAAGAATTCCAGAGCGCTGCTATCATGCCTGACCTCATCTTCCATTATTTGTGATTAGAGAAACAGCCCCAGCATTTACAAGATCTATGTCCTTTTTTCATTTTTTTTTGCTGACAGTCTCAAGTGCCCGTGAGTGGCACCATCCAACTGCTGAGCCAGCAGAAGCAAGGATAATTGGCATCCCCTGAGGATGAGCTCATGCTTGAGGGCAGCAGGAGTAGCTCCTGTCATTCGTTCGGGAATGGGACCTCTAATACTCGGAGGATTCGCGGTTCCTGGGCAAGCCGCATGACAGCCCCCTTCGCTCAGCTCTATGATCCCCCCGCACAGTGCCAAGCCTGTGGGCACGAACCAAAGGGATTTTTGTAAGACGCTGGGAGCAACTAATTGAGGAGCTTCAGCAGAGGCTGGATTTGCCAGGCCTGTCATCAGTTTGGTAAGTAGGGGCCAAGCCCAGACTAAGGAGTGGTTCGCAACCAGGGTGTCGTATCCGGAGTCCTGTGCCCAGTTTTGGCACCCCCCACTACAGAAAGGATGTGGACAAATTGGAGAAAGTCCAATGAAGATGGTTCAGGGGCTGGGGGTCATGACTGGTGAGGAAAGGCTGAGGGAATTGGGCTGATTTAGTCTGCAGAAGAGAAGACTGAGGAGGATTTAATAGCAGCCTTCAGCTCCCTGCAGGGTGGTTGCAAAGAGCATGGAGCTGGGCTGTTCTCAGTGGGGGCAGGTGACAGGACAAGGAGCAATGAATGGTCTCGGTTGCAGCAAGGGAAGTTGAGGATAGATACTAGGAAGCATTTCCTCGCTAGAAGGATGGTAAAGCACTGGCACAGGTTAATCAGAGAGGTGGTGGACTCTCCATCCTTGGAGGTTTTGAAGACCTGGGTAGACAAAGCCTTGGCTGGGATGATGGAGTTGGGGCTGGTCCTGCTTGGAGCAGGGGGTTGCACTAGATGTGACCTCCTGAGGTCCCTTCCGACCCTCCTTTTCTATGATGCTAGGACTGCAGTGCCCCCACCGCTGCCCAGAGCCAAACCAGGATAAAGCTAACTCAGGCAGGAATCCCCCCTCCTGCCGCAGCTCTTCCCGGTCCTTCTCTGCAGACCATTCCTGGAAACAGAGGCGTTTCCAGGAGCCCTTATGGTGGCAGTGGTGCCAGTCTGGAGAGAGCACAGTTGAGAACCAGCGCACTAAATGCTCGACCCATAAGCAGTGTCAGCCTGCCTTATTTTTGCTAATGAAGGGAGAAGGTCATAGCTGGTCGTGCATCCTAGCCATAGGCTGACTTCAGATGGGGAACAAGATCCCTGTAAGGTTAACGTCCTCAGAGAGGCAGCAACAAGCCACTGGGTCGGGCTGCTTTGTTGCACATTGGGAGCGGTGAAAGGCAGTGGCTGTGTCTGGATGCCACAGTGGTGCAAGGAGGGCTGGGCAAGCAGGGCATGAGTCCCAGGCACTACCATGGGGGCAGTGGGGGCTAATGCAGCAAAGGCTCTGCCCAGCGCTCCCAGCCCTGCTCTCTTATGCTCAGCACAGCCCCCTTCCTGTCCCCAAGGCACAGAAGTGACTAGCTACACCTCTGGGGTGCTGGGTTCACTCTCTGGTTGGGATCAGAAGTGGCATCAGCCCTGCCAAGAGATTTTAGTTCCTCCCTCCTTTTATTGTCACAGACACCGGGATAACTAACAGATGCGGCATGACGTCCTAAACGCACCGTATTCTGGTCCAGTGCTTGCATCCTGAATGAGAAGGCCCTTTTTGAAACTTTAAGGTCCAGTTTCCTGGACAGATGTGTATCAAGTGGGCAAGCAGGGCTTGAAGGTGCAGTCAGAGGAGGGCTGAGCTGGCAGGTCAAACCCCAGTGCTCAGACCGGCTGCTGTAGATGTCCAGTGGCCCCAGGACTTGAATTTTGCAGCTCCAGAGAGGAGTGAACACACAGCTGATCTCTCTCTGGGGATGTTCCTGCAGCTGGGCCGTGCTCCAGACTGGCAGATAATACAGAAACGTGGTGTTGTGGGTATCACAGTCTCCAGGGCTTGACTATGGCTGTATCTCCCCGCGCCAACACCTGCCAGCACTGAGATTGTCTCAAAAACACGTGGATTAGGAGTCTAGGCCAAGATGAAGTGCTTTCAATACAGAAGTCTCATAGCATTAAAGCAGGTTTCCATAAAAAAAGACAGACCTGATTCAACACAGCTCTTCCCCACCAACAGACCAGCCCTGCCCCCTCCTTCCCCAACACACTGAGAGCTGTACACGTCCCAACTCTGGGAGGAAGAATACGTGCAAACTTTGCATCTCAAGCCCGCATCTGCTGGGCATCCTGGATTAAGCCAGCCTCCAGATACCACGTCCAACACAAGCTCAGAAAACCGACAGGCCTGTGGCCACCCCTGTTATAGGGTTTTCCTTTCTCCTTTCTTTTAAAGCCTTTAGGTTGATTTCCAAGACAAACGTGAGCCTTTGCTGTTTCTGGAATTACCGCCGTGTTAAAAAACACCACTTTGTTTCAGGTGCCGGGATCTTATTAGAGAGAGGGAATTTTAGCTCTTTTGGGTGAGGCTCAGGCTCAGCTACACAGTAAGATGTTGAAAGAAAAATTAAAGAGACAATGCAAACCAGCTTCACATGGTCTCAGGAGGCCCAGAAAGGCCAAGTACACAGAGCCCAAATGAACCCTCCTCATCACACCTCTCTCATTAGGGGACACAGCTTTCCTCAGGCTTTCAAAAGCTTAGTCCACTCATCCTTAAAGCAGCTTCTGCCCAATGCGCTGCTGAGTCTGCAAAGCAGCAGTGCCGACCTGCTCACGAACTTCAGTGTAGGGCAGAAGGGAACAATTAGGTGTGAGCTGGTCCTCACTCATCCTAGCAGGCTCCAAGGACAGCAGGAGCGAACTGCACAGCATGAGAAGGATTGCAGCAAGCTTCAGGATTGCAAGAGGGGGCCCTGATGTCAAGCAGGAGGGAACCGATGCTGGAAGTAAGCAAGCTAGAGCTTACGGGGGAACGCAGACAGGCATGCAAAGCACTGCTCTAATGGCACCAGCCCATGCTCATCTTTGCAGCCTGCCACCGCATCCCCTCCTCTGCAAGAGCCGAAACTCGGGGTCTCTCCCTATACTGGCCCTGAAGCTTCACGGCCTCTCGTTTCCATCGCAGGCCGACTCCTCCGCCGGAGCATGGATTTGGAGTGGGAATGCACCAGCCTAGAGGAAGGAAGCTGCCAGAGTCCCCGTGCTCAGAAGGGTACAGCTTGGTCCCCTGCCAGAAAGTCTCCATGCTGCTCTTTGGTGGCCTCCACCAAACCCTTGAGAAATCGAAGAGGAATGGAGAGATTCACACACGGATCCAATGGCCGCTAAGAGACACGCACAAAGCCCCGAACCCAGCGCTGGCGAGGACCGGGGGGGCACCAGATCATACTCCCTACTGGTGCAGAACTGTTCCCAGCAGCACTTCACCGCTCACCCCGAGGCAGCGTGGCGTGAAGCATGCATTTCAAGGTACATGCGTAGGCCCTTGAGCAAGGCGCCGCCTTCGCGCATGCAAACATTGGGCTTCCAGGTAACCTGTGGCCAACGTACTCCAGGCTCTCCAGGATTGAGGCTTTTCCTCCCCACCTCTCTGGCACACTGGGAGGAGGTTAGAGAGCTGCAGTCTCCTGGTAGGACCCAAGAACACACTCAGGAAGGGAAAAGCCCATCCATGTGCAAGGCTTGGAGGCCCCCGGACCTTGCACTCATCTGGCTGAACTGATGCATGGCCGCATTCAGGTATGTCCCCGGCATAAAGGCGGGGGCCATGCTTGACTGGTGCCTGATGGCCACTGTAGCAACCTCCTTCTTCCAAAAGGAAGGAGCAAATTCCCCCTCCCACCACCTCTCTCCAGGGTTTGACCATGTGTTGTTTTGCCACCAGAAGAACAGAGGTGGCACAGCTTGCCTGGGCACCCAGATCTGAATTGAGGGATGAACTGTGCCAAGACAGGCCTGCTTGAGTGTGAAGTAAAGCCAGTGGCTAAGGAGGTGGCTCCAGATTTAAAGCATCCCCACACAGCAGAGAGATCTCACCCCAAGTTGTTTTCCAAGTCTTCCCCCACTTTGAGCTGGTGACTATGTGCGCACAAGGCAGTATACTTCCCAGGAAGGGGAAGCACACGTTAGGGGAATGAATGCATACCAACAGACAAGGGCAAGATGCTGGGATTTATTCCTTCCCTCATTAAAACCATCGCTATCTTGAACCAAAGCAGCTGACCCACCCCATCACTTTGTGGCTTGGAGGAGGCTCAGTCGGGTCTTGCCAGGCGGAAGCCCTCGGTTCACAGGTTGCTGCTGGCTGGGAAGTTATTGGAGCAAAGTGACTATTTGTGCACTGGGCTCCCAGCAAAGGCACCCGGTTCAGTCGTTCTCAACCCACGGTACCCAAGGCAGGACCATTAAGACAAGCAGGGAGGCCAAGAAGCCAGTTACGGCCTGGTGCACCGATCTGGGGGCTGCCCTTCTTTGTCCCCAGCTGGGATCTGGGCTGCTGGCAGCCCCAGCCAGGTGAGGAGAGGAGTGATGCACCATGAGATGTTTGAAAATCAGTGTTGATCTGGGGAAGCAGAGGTCACACTTGGATACAACCACTCCGCAGAGGTACAGGACACAGATCTCACCCCTGCGCCGGCACAGGGTAGCTTCCAGCCTCTCCCGCCCGGGGCTGAAGGACTGGCAGTGTGGTCAGCTGGACCAGATGGAGATTGTGTAGCCCCCTGCTTGGCAAGTTGCTCCCACCCTACATCTCCATGGCACAGAGCAAAAGGCACTAGGAGGAAGGGGCCTCTGTCCTCTCTGGGTAGACCCAAAGCAAACACCTACCATGACAGTGATGCCGTCCTTCTCCAGCGGGGTCTTGTCATAGGTCACCTCACAGACCCTCACGACCGTCGTCGCGCCGTACTTCTTCAGGTCCTAGGGGAGGAAGGGAGATGGCTTCTGTAAGGGCAGAGGTAGAGGAGATGCAAGTACACCCCCTGCCCCCATCCCCTGCCTCACCCAGGCTATTTGTGCAGCTCTCTCCTACCAGAGACACGCAGGGACTCACCAAGGGACCCGGGTACATGCAAGCAAGATACGCACGTGACGGAGCGTGGCGGGGGCAGACAGCAGAGGTGACATTTCCTGCCATCTCCATACCAGCATTAGCTCTTTAATCCTCCCTTCCAACCCACCCAAGATGACTTCCCTTCCCTGTCCCCAGGGCTGGCAGTATGCACAACACACACCCTCACACAACGGCCCTGCCGTGCGACAGCTCAGCCTATGTGCAGGTGAGGTACAGGTGGCAGGGGTCTGTCCTGGCTCCAACACCAACTCCATGCCCTTGGTCATGTCACTTAACTTCATGCTCCTTCCCCATAGGGAGGGGTCCTGCTGCCTGCCTCGCAGGGGCGCAGCGAAGGCGAGTTACAGTTTGCACAATGAGGAGAAGGAGCCATTTCTTGGCAAGGGGAAACCTCTCTCTTCCCATGCACTATAACAGTCACCACCCCGGGAACACTGTGGCACCTTCATGGGACAAGGGGACGTCCTGTGATTTCATTACAGGGGCCGGGCCGTTGCACTGGAGCTCTCCACAGCATACCGGGACAGAGGCATTTGTCGGTCTGCCCTCGTCGCTCCAGCAGTATCACAGCTCTGCTTTTCGGAGGGGAGGGGGGCAGGGACCACTGTTTGCTCTCAGCACCTAGCATGCAGCGGAGACCCGCTGGGGCCCTGAAGTGGGACTCTGGGAACCTGAGCTTTCCCCCTGGCCCTGCCAAAGCCCTGCCACAGACCTTCGGTCAACCCACTCTGCCTCCTCTCTCCCCCCTGGTCTCGATGAAGACAGAGCATCTTGCTTTGCAGGGGGCTTCACACAGTCTAGGTCTCCGGAGCCCTGCTCAGGCAGCGCTGCAACGCAAAGAAATGCTTATCAGCTCATAGCTCCAGTGCTGGGACCAGGCTGCTTGGAGCACGGCGAGGAGACCCAGAGGTCACCAGCCCTGTCTGGAGAGCCTTGGACAAAACAACCCAAGCATAAACAAGGGCTGAGAGGCAGGCGGAGGTTAAATCACAGGGCACGAATGCAGGAGACGCGGCGTGGGCAAGACCAGGACTTCCGAGCAGCCACCAGAGAGGCTGGGCACCTTCCCTGCTCCTCCAAGTGGTAAACACACACACAAGGACACTTATTTTTAATCCTCCGGGGTATTGCCAGGGCTCCTCTGGTTACTCACGTAACCAATCAACATTTGCAGACAACAGAACCGGTTCTAGGAAAAGGGTCGGCTAAAAACAGCCTCTTGGCCCTAATCCCAAGGGCTCGGCAGCAGGACTGGAGAGGCAGCTCGTTGCTCCCTGTGCAGATGAAGTGCGACCTCTCTCCTACCTTCTGCTGCATGGGTTTCTCCTCCTGCGTGGCACGTGCTTTCTCCCTGCTCTCGGAAATGTTTGCAACCAGAGAGACACACATGTGCTCCATGGACCTGGGTCCAGACTGGCTACTCTGCCGCCAAGTGACAACATGACCTTGGGCAAATCCCTTCACCTCTCTGTGCCCGATCTGCTTCCCTGCTTATTTTGGCAGTAAGCTCTTGGGGGGCGGGGATGGCCTCTAGCTCTGGCTTTGTACCTGGTCCAGCCCAGTGTGTTGCCAATCTCTGTGTTATCACCCGGTAGGGAAGAACAAATAGGACCAAGCTAACAAGCTGGCAGAATGCAAAGTCCTGCGAGCCGTCTCCTTTCACAGTAAAACACTGACGATGCGCACGGGCACAGTCCAACACAGCAGAAGGGAGAACACGTCCTGCCCGCGGGACGTGGCTCCAGTGCCGTCTGCCTGAAAACCGAACTGAACAAGCAGGGCAGGCGCCACATATGCAGCGAGCGGTACAGACAGCTGCAGGAAGGCGTGCGTGTGTGCACACACTGGGGCTGGAAACCAGCCTCGCTGGGATGCTGGCACGCAATATCCTCCAGTGCATAGTCTTCGCTCTCTGTGGCATCCTTCTGGCACCTCTCACCATGGTACCCAGGCACCTGACAAGTGTTAATGCCTTTACCCCTGTGCCACCCCGACATGACAGCCTGCCAGGGAAATGGTGGATCAGAGAGAACAAGCAACCGGCTCAGGAAGTCTGTAGCGGAGCGGAAAAATGAAGCTGGCCCCCCCAAATCCAGCAAGCAGCCTGACCAGCTGGCTCTGCTTTCTCCACTTGTGACCCCATTTCCCCCACCGTGGTTGCTCAGGGAAGTTTTCTTCCTACATGAGCCCAACTTGGTGGGATTGCTTCTGGCTGCGTCGGGGCTGACCTTGGCCCTGGCCGCTTTGCAGACTTGCCATCACCAAAGAGGTTTTCATGTCCCAACTGACTTCTTTTCCATGGTTGACTTTGTAGTTTTGTAGACGGCTAGATAATGGATTTGTATGGGATGGCTGGATAGGGATGATCATGTTCAGGAAGGGGGTTGGACTGGATGTGACCTCTGGAGGTCCCGTCCAGCCTCACTTCTTTATGATTTCCATGAAGGGCAGGCGAAGTTTCCTGCCCTCGGCATCACTGCGCGCTCCGAGGAGCTAGTTAAAAAATGCACACAACCCGACACAGCTGGTCAGGGCTCAGGAGGGATTACAGGGGCTGCAGGGCAACATGCCACAAAGCACTGCAGAGACCGACACACACAGCACATGGAAGCAGCTGAGGGTCCAATCTGAAGCAGGACCTGTTTTTCCAGGGATTTGGGGTGGGTTTTTTTAGATCTATTATCAATGCAACTCTTCTTCACTTAAGCAGCCTGAGGAAGCTAAAGGAGATCATGGCTTCATAGTCGGACTGCACACAATACGACCAGACACATGGTTTCTTGGTCTCTTCTCCAGCCAGAGAGCTGGCCTGTTGACCCTGTTGGGTGAAGAGCTCTTCATACAGCAAGAGGGCAGAGCAAGATTTTAATGAGAGACTGGGCAGGGTCAAAACCACACAAACCTGACAGAGGGACTTGACACAGGAGCAGCATTTGCAGCTTCTTTTAAAAGGTTTTTGCCCAGATTTAAAGCTGACGGTGCCCTGTCCTGCAGCCTATGCAGAACCGCAGCGTGTTGCAAAAGCGCCTGACGGCAGCGTCTGGTCTCTGGCATGGCTGGGAGCTCTGGGAACATGCTTTATGAGAGTAACTACAGCACAGTTCCCTTTTGCCCTGTTAAACCAAACCACGCAGTCAGGAAGCCTGGTTCTGTGAACGCTCGGGGCTTCAGAGCCGCCTCTGACTGGAGCAACTCTCCCTGTAGCCGCCCTTGCAGAGTTAACAGCCGAGTCTGTGCAAAGGTTTCCACTACACATGAAGCACGTGCCAAATCATTTTAATGCAGCTGGAAGCCGGAGTTCATGCCCCAGCTTCAGACAACGTACTGCGGAGGCTGCGCTGTAAGGGATCCAACTGAACCGGAGGCCTGCCTGCATTCAGCTTGGCTCGTCCGTCCCCGAGATAAGCCCTGCTCGAACCACCCTTCTCACTTGTGCGGCTGCCAGGTCCCAGACAAAGACTTTCCGTTTGCTTTTACAACGCTGTGCAAAACACCATCCCCGGCTGCTGAGAGCCATGATCAGGACATCCCGCTCTCAGCCCCCTTCAACAGATCTGAGTCCCCTGCAAATGTCTTAGAGCATCTTCTTGACCTAGGAGGGTGCTGGCTACATCCCGGAGAGGCCTTCTCTTTCCGAGCCAGTGCAATTCACAGCAGCAGTGGTGGGTCTGTGCACGTGTGCACCTGCACGTCATGCTGTGCAGCGACTGCACGTCTGGGATAGCGCACGTGGCTCAGAGCTACTCCCCGAGCATCCGACTGGTCCCTAGTGCTTTGCCTCTGGACCCGAGAGCCTCCTGGAGCCCAGTGAGAGAGCTCAAGCCTGCGCCACTGCAGAGCAGCCTGCTGCGAATCCCAAGACGTCAAGGTGAAAACAGGTGTAACAGGCCCCTGCCACAGCCAGGGGTTGCTATTAAGCTCTTTATTTCCAGCCTGCTACAGACAACTTCATCAGTGCTGGGTATCCCTGTGGCTCCGGGGAGCCCTGCATGGGAACAGCTGTGCATGTCCATCGCCTCGGCTCACATGGATGGCTCAGGTGCACAGCTGACACCTGCTACACAGGCGGCTTCACTAGCAAGGCAGGGGCAGGCACTGCAAGCTCCATCCGATGCTGCATTTCGCCTCCTGGGCAGGAATG